TCTGGCGAAGCCGGAGAATCCGTACAGCAAAAAGCTGAAGTCCTGCAAAAGCTACGCCGGTGGGTTATCGGCGGCTTTTAGTAAATCGGTGGCGAAGAAGACGTCGGCGTCGAGGGGATCTTGCTCTTCGTTGACGGCGAAGAGAAGTGCCGGGAATTTCCTCATCGGCGGTAGACCTCCGATCCCGCAGCCTCACAGATCTGCCAGCACCGTTGCCATTGCGAATCAAACTGCCTTGTTTGCTTGATTATTAATTAATTCACGTCGGTTTTAATTTTTTTGGTTTTCCTTTTCTTTTATATGTATATATTGAAGGATTATTTATGCGGCTTAGTTAATTTAATTTATGTGGTTCACGTTTTTTACATATATGAATATATATATATATATATTAACCATAATATAATTTTTTAATCTATGATTTTTTAATATAATGAATAATGTAATTTCAATTTGGAATTTTTCAAGGTAGATTTTCTTTAGAAAAAAGGTTTTTTTTTTATTTGTTACTTTTTTTATTTCTTTTAATATAGTAGTAATTTATGTTTTAAATGTAGATTTAAAAATTTAAATTATAATTCTCCTATAAAAAATAAATTACAAGTATATAGAACTTTTAGTAATAATTGATTTACATATAAAAATAATTTATTTAAATAATAAAAAATGTGAACTTTGGTTCAAAATTATCTGAAATTAAGACATTTAAAAAAAAATTAGAATAATTTTATTAATATCGGTCACTGCTTTTTTTAATTAATTTTTACTTCCTTTTATTATTAGTTAAACCAATAAAATAATTTTTAAATTAAATGTGAGACATTGCAATAAATTATTTTTTACATGTCATTAAATATTTTAAAACAACTTCTAACCTACTACTTTGTGATTTAGTTGTCTTAAAATCAAAATATTTTAAAATTAATATTTTTTGTATTATATATTATGTCATCGAACACGAGGTACCTAAAGTGAACGATGATCTAATCATAATACAACACTTATTCAGTCTGGTTTCAAATAGTAATTTTATCTTTCAAACTATAAGAACTATTATTGTAATACTCAGGTTCGAAAATCAGTTTAAGATAATCTTTTTTATTTACAAAAATTATATAAATAATAAATTTTATTTTATTTCAATTTAATTTTAGTAATTTTTTGAGAAAAAATAGATTAGCAACGAAATTGAACACAATATTGGGGATAAGGGGTGAAATTTTGAATTCAGATGGTATTTTTGAAGAAAAAAATTAGAAATAGGGGTTAAATTGCAAAAAAAAAAGTTTAGCCACGTGGCTGGTTGGCTGACATTGGCACCACACGGGAAGCCACGCGAGCGATCCACATGCCTGGCAATCCGACGGTCCAGACCTCATCCCTTGCGCATGAACGGTTGAGATACATTATCTCTTTAGAAGTGATTGGACGGGCGAGATGGATCGCGATGGACGGTCCAGATTTGTCCACGCCATCAGCCTAAACGAAAAATCATCGAACAATCCTCCTCGCTCCACATCGACACAAACGGATGGCCTAGATCAAATAGGAGAATAGTATTTAAACTCTTCTTCGTAAGAGAATCTAACCCTAGCCGCCCAACCCTCGCCGGAAAAGAAGAACCAGACGCTAGAGAAGAGGCTGACCCCCCGGCCACCGTCACACCAAACTCACCGCCGACCTCCAAAAAAGGTAAAATTTTCTCATCCCCACTCGGAATTCAATTCAAAGTCTCCTTGTGGTCATATCGGAGCCGTCGCAGGCAAAACCCGATAGAGCCGTCGCAGGCAAGACCCTAAAACCTCTCTAATGACCCCCTTTCCGTTTTCCGTTTCACACGATTATTTAACATCGTGTTCACCGTCTCTTTCTGGTACAGGTTAGCCGAGAAAAATCTCAGCCACAAAGGAGAACCAGCAGAGTCACAACACCTGGAGACTCCCCCTCCCCGCCGCTAGTAGGTTTTATTTTTTTTTGTGGCTAACCGAGGCTTCCTAACATATTTCTTCACATAAATGTGTAAAATCGGCCAAAATTGGCCAAAACCTACCAGACCGAGGCAAATCGCTGTCGTGGGCGAGGGCGCCATGCTAGAACCCTAAAATTGGTCGAAAATATTTTCAACATCAATTTTGGACTTTTGAGGTATTTTTGGGTATGTGAAAAGTATTTTGATTTTCATATGAAAAATTCAAGAAATCCAGAACCCGTTAGGAAGCGTAGTAAATAATACAACATTTTGAAATATCAATTCGGGTAAGAATCTCTCACTCTACTTCCTGTTACGGTAATTTGAGGCTAATTACGTTGACTGATTTAAAAATTATTGACGAACTAGAAAGCGTGTGACTCTTAAACAATTATCCAAACACAATCCACAAATCCAACTTGAAAACACCCGAATACAATAATTTTATAATAATTAACATTCTCATTTAACAAATAAATATTTTAACAAAAAATACATATGATGGAACAAGACGGTGAATGATCTAAACATTGTCCTTTATAAGTAAATAGTGAACAATTTGTGCACTCGCTATCTCCATACCGTTAATATAAAAAAAAATTTGTTCGTTCTACTAACTATGTAAGCTCTGTATAACTTCGAGATCTTACCATCCTTTTATTCCACGTGAAGCATCACAGTTAGTTTGACGAACTCATGGATTTGTAAATTTTTTATTTATAGAGACTAAATTCTCTAAACGAGTTTTTTAATGCACACATCTTATTTTTATGTTAAAAAGGAGTTAAATCTTTTTAAAGATCAAACAACTTTCTTTTATATTGTGAATTTATTATTTAATATGAAAAATAATATATTAAAAATTAAAGCTAAAATGTATAACAATATCTAAAATATAAAATTTTGTATTTAATTATAAATAGAAGAAATATTCCATAAAATTTACATGATATATTTTTTTATCTTTTGTTTTATAAAATATTGAATATCAAATAAATATTAATACGTGACTTAAAACTTATAATTTCACATTAAAAAAATAAAATATTAATATACGATTTTTAATTAAAAAAAATTTATAACGAATTTTCCACGTAAGCAACGCGCAATATACGGAACATCAGTGCGTACAGCCGACTTATAAGACCAGCAATCATTACGGTGAGGCACATGCAAAGCGGAAAGTGAGCTGGCTGGCCAGATCACCATTACCGCAGTCCACCCACGTTCTTACAATTTGCTTCGTGGGTGCCGACGTGTAATCTAATGATTGGACAGACAACAAAACTTTTAGGTTTCTGTCTTTTTTTAAAATAAATGATTTTTTTTTTTTATAAAAAAAGTATTATTATTTATTCTTTTTTAAAAAAAGAAAAAGGGATATATTTTTGTTGTATGAATTTGACTATGACTTTTTATATAATAAATTGCTATTAACAAAAAATAATAAACTACACGTTACCATCATGTTACTTGAATTAGTTTGGTTTTATTATATTTTTTTTTTAAATTTTAAAATGTTATTTCACGTTTTTTTATTTTTAAAATATAATAAATTTATCGATAACTAATTCAATTCGATCACTATAATTCTATTAATATAATAATTAATTAAATTATTAATTTTATTGACTCAAACATTATATATTAGTAATAAAGTAAATTAAAATTTATTTTTTATAAAAATAAATTAGATTCAATTTTAATAAAATTCGTCAATTGCCATCATATATCCCCCACAAGTAAGTTATATTGAGTATAATGAATTGTTATGAGATTTTTTTCGAAATATGTTGTGATTGAATTTAATTTGAAGTTGAATTTTTTTTTTTCTAATTATCTCAATTTTGAATTTTGTACAAATTTTAATTTTAATTTGAGTTTAAGTTCAAATTCGAACTCAATTTTAAATAAGTAATAATTCATGGATTAAAAATCTTGTAAGTTTAAAAGTAAAATATTACATATTTGATTCATTGTTGAAATGACTTTCGACAATTAAATTAATTTTTAAAGTTTGATACTTATTATAATTATATTTTAATATTTATTTCATTACAATTTGGTGCTAAATTAATTAATAAAATAATATTGAAATTGTAATAAATATTAAAATTTAAATATTTGTATTTAACGAAAATATTACACACTACACTCCAAACAAGTTGAAACCAAAAGGGGGTCAAGAATATCCTTGCCAAGATCTCCTCTATTTTCGGGGTAATATAATTAGTTTTCAAATTCACATTTATTTCATTTTTTTTATAATTAAAATAATTAAAAAGCCGAAAAAGGGATGACGACGATGACAAATTGCTCATATGATTTGGATCCTTCTGTCTCATTTCAATATATTTAATGAAGAAATTTATAATATGATTTCTTTAGCATTTTGGTAGGTATCATTTGCTTTTCTAATTAATCACTACAAAAATACTATAGACTTCCTATTACTACCTAATATTATATATTCAATAATTAAAATACCCTTTATTAATTTATTTACACAATTATAAAAAAAAAAATTGTAATGATTTCGAATCATAATACCATTTATATTGTGTTGTAAGTAGTATTTATAATATATAATTTCATTTTAAAAAATAAAATATAATTATAAACAACCATAACTTTTGAATGTAATTGATATTGTGTAAAGCATTCGATTTGTGTTTACACTCGAAATCATTAAATAATTTAGTGAACGTTCTGTAATTTTACTTAATTATTGTTTAATTTTGTATATTTTTTTAAAAATTCAGTGCTATTTAATTTTAATTTTAATTTTTATACATTAAATTATTTATTTTTCATGCTATTATCTTTTAATTTTGTGAATTTTTGTTAGTTGTAAATTTTTATTCTACATGTTTTTAATATTTTGTCTATAAAAGTTAAAATATCTTAAAAGTTATGATATCAATTTTTTTTAACCAAACAATTAATTATATTATTCATATGATGGTTCACAAATTTTTTTATTATGGTACTAAATTTGAGTAGTTATTATTCGGTACGAATCAAATAAATTAATGTGTATGATCTCATCTTTAGTATCAGAAATTAAAGATTAAAAAAATTAATTTATTTTTGATAAAATAACTTTTTATAGAAAGATTATAATTAATATAAACTAAAAATAAAAAAGCTCTAATTTAATTAATCGAGCATACATATTATTTGGTTATTACAAATTAATTATTTTTTTAAAAAAATATTTTATTAACTATTTTGCCCAAAAGATAAAAAAATTCCGTCTTAGTTAAAAAGCAGTTCAATTCAATCCAATTCAATTTTGACTGCCAAATTTATAAATGGAGTTTCTATTTTATAAATAAGGTAAATAGATCTCACACGACTAACGTCTACTTCCAACTGAAATGACGAAAATACCCCTGCGAGTTAGTTGTATCAACGAATCTCCAATTGTAATTTGATTAAGTGGGACCGGGGCCTTCGCCGCTATAAAAGCGGGAGTCCGTTGCGCTTACACAGAGCCGTAGCGATCTCGTTCATCTCTCAATTTTCTCTTTTGTTCTGTTCTGTTCTGTTCTGTGTTGTATTTTGCCAAGACACGTGAAAGGCAAGAAAAAAAAAAAAAAACAGAGGTAGGTCAGAGGAGACCGGAGGAAGACGAAGAGGCGGACGGTGTTAAACGCTGAATTGCAGCATCGAGTCGGCGATCTATGCGACCGACGTTAATCTCTTCGGTTCTTGGTAGATCTTTCGTCGTGTTCTTGTTCTTATTCTTGGAATCCGGTCGGTTCCGGAACTGTGGAGGATATTGTTTTGAGTCGATATTAGGCAAAGAAAATTCACCTTATGAGCTGGTTTGATAAGCTGCGTTGTTCCTCCAATTTCAGCCGCTTCATTGCCGGCCTTCTCATCTTCATACTTTATCATTCGTTTCAGTTAATTTCTAATTTCTTGATTCCTATACACCCGTAAACTCTCTCAGAAGTTTGTTTCGCGTGTTTCGATTTATTTTCTTGCTTTGTTGTTCGAATTATCAACAACATCTTCGTCGTCGTCCTCATTAAGATCTTTATGGACACCGACGATTCTTTCTCCAGTGACAACTTGTTGGACGGTTAGTATATGTGTATATTCCTCCAGTTTCTTGATTTTCTTTAAAGGTTATTTGTTTGCGTGTGGCAATCGTGGAATTTGATTCTTGAAGGTTGTTTTTAGATGGTTAGCTTTTTTGCTGCGAATCTTTTCGGCATTGATTCTCTTTAAATTGAAGCGGAAAAATTTGGAAATTGATCTAAAGAATTCACTGTATATTTCGTTGCTGACCAACAATTTAGTGGGGAATAAGCATTTCCTATTGGTTGAAACAGCACAATTGAATTCGTAGCCCTATTTTGTGGCCCTAAGTACTTGTGAGATCGTACTGAACCGATGAATGGTAATATAAGCACCTGCAGCAATACTGTTCTGTTGTGAAGAAAAAATATGAAATACGTTTCTATGTCATTCTGTTGGTCGCCAAAGCAACATTTACTAGCCGATGATCTGCATGCCATAAACAGGAAACTGAATGACAATGACATTAGGAAGTCTGCAGTGAGCATTCCCTTGACAAAATGGCATCTGACTTAGCCAGATTTAGTACTTTTTAAGCTATTTTTTGGTGATCTCCAGTTCCAATCCTGGATTTTGTGCACATTTTGATTTTTGGTAATCCATTTGGCAGGCACTATTGCCTCACTTATTGAGAGACGTAACAGTTCACACCCGTCTGTCATCGTAATTGGTGCCGGTATTTCAGGTCTTGCTGCTGCACGTATTCTTCATGATGCATCTTTTGAGGTGATAGTCTGATAACTGCTTATTTCTTCTATGGTTATGGATACAACAGTTATTTTATCTTTAACAATCTCTAGTTGTCAAAATCTGCATAGGTGGTTGTGCTGGAGTCACGGGATAGACTTGGTGGCCGTATCCATACTGACTACTCATTTGGTTGCCCTGTGGATATGGGAGCTTCATGGAAAGTTCCTTTCTTTATTGGTTTGATGGTTTATACCTTTTACTTTTTGGGTCCCTTGCCTTACCTTGTATGTGATAGTTAATTGTTACAAAGATACTGCACATCTTTATGTTGGCCCTTGTTTACTTGAAGGATTTTCTTATCCATGCTCTCTGCCTGATACAATTTACGAATTTTATGTTTGTAATTCTAATTTGTTGTTTGTCACAATTGTTGGCTTGGTTAAGTTCTTCATAGTTTTAGTGGAAAACTGGGAAGTATTCGTGAGTGTCTGATATGCTTAATTACTTCCTGGGATGAAATTTATTAACAAGAAGAATAAGTGCTTCTTTGGAAAGAAGAAAAGCATTGAAAACAAAAAGATTATTTGTATTTTCCATACATACATTTTTGTCACTCGTCTAAATGTTTCATCATTTCGTTCAAATCGCTTTGACCTTCCAGAGCACATTTGGCAGATAATCATCCGTTATTATACTCATAATATTTTCATATAAATACAGGCATAGCATTAGTAAGTGCATTTATACAATGAAAGAATGCTTCACAAACATTCTCATATTCAATCCTGTTTATGCCTTAAATGTTCATATGTTTTTGGAGGACTAAAATTTTTTCATTGAAAGAAGAAAGGGTACATAACTTTGATTTCAAATGTGTATTAATAATTTTTTCCATTGATTTTATTCAGGCTACATGGAGTCTGCAATGAGAATCCTTTGGCTCCCTTAATACGCTGTCTAGGGCTCACGTTGTACCGTACTAGCGGCGACAACTCTGTGTTGTATGACCATGATTTAGAAAGGTAATCATTTCCTGACTTCAGATTGTATGCACAAGTCCCTAGATCAGAGATGAAGCTTAGATTCAAGCACATGGAACTAAAGTTTTTCAGACTAACTTTCTACATATCATGGTATGCTATATTGAATACCATACCGTATTGCAATGGACAAGCAAATAACATGTTTTGGTTGTAAATAAGATAAAGCTACAAAAACTGAACTTGTTTTTTGTAAAGGTAAAAGAAGAGATGTGTCAAAAGCGAACCATTCTGGTGCCAATCCAATAACAAAATAACTATTTTCAAGACAATAATTTTATATGTCAAAGGATTCCTTCTAAGCCGAAAATGTTAGACAGAATAACACTTCTATAATATCAATGGAACTGTCAACACCATCAAACATCCTCTTTGTTTTTTCAGCTCTATATAATCTGAAAAATTATAAGAGAATCTACTTAATTGTCATCTTCGGCCCTTTGGACACCATCCTTCTGAAGTCCATACCTAATCCTAAATAGGACCAGCAACTAACCAGTCTTATGCTAAGCAAGGATGGAGACATTTAAAAATTTCAGGTGCGTGCGCGAGGTTTTTCATCCCCTTCATAAAGATAGAGATTGTTGAGAAACCATGTCTTTTCCTTCAAATTATTAGTAGTCAATATCTTTTTCCAAATTGCTTGAGTAAGAATACAACCTTTAGGAAAATTGTCTTTTCAAAGTCTTGTTTCCACCATCCCTAAGATTCAGAAATAGGAACTAATCTCATTTGTGGTAGCATGATGCATAAAATGAAGTTGTCCCATGTCCACCATACAAATAATGTGGGGCATGTAGGACAAGTAAACGATACGCATGCAGAAGGATATTGATTGACTTTGAAAATTCAACTAAAAATGTTGTTGGATGAATCAGATTTTACCCAGAGCATATAACATAGTCTCTCTTTTCATTGTTATAATTTAAACTTTTTCAGATTAAATTATTAATTGAGGATCTGGATTTGGTTCTTTCAGTTATGCACTTTTTGATAAGCATGGCCATAAAGTTCCACAGCAGATGGTCGCTGAAGTTGGAGAGACTTTTGAGAAAATCCTCAAAAAGGTACAATCTTGATATTGTATTCTGAGAAGTCTTATATATGTAGTTCCTGCACAGTGTGGATAAGCAATCTGCTTAGTTTTTTTTTTTGGTGGCATCTCTAGACAGAGCAAGTAAGGGATGAACATACCAGTGACATGTCTGTCCTTCAAGCAATATCGCTTGTGTTAGATAGGCATCCAGAATTGAGGTATTGGGCGTGAAAGGATGTTCAATGTTTAATGTTTATTGCATTTTGTTGTCATTACAAGATCAATCAGTGCAATTGACCTAACTGGCATCTTCTGTAGACAAGGAGGGCTTGCCTATGAAGTGTTGCAGTGGTACATATGCAGAATGGAAGCTTGGTTTGCAGCGGACGCAGATATGATATCACTGAAATGTTGGGACCAGGCAAGTGAAGTGTCTGATTTTTCCTTAATTTCGTGTAACACAGTTTTTTATTGAATGGAAGATCATTGTTCTACTATGTAACGCCTTGAATTATTGCTGGTTGCAATTCTTTGTAGTCGTTTGACAATCTATTTTAAGATGGTTTTTGCATTAACTTTTTAAAGAGGAGAGGGGAGCACTTTATAGAAATCAGATTTAAGGAAAAAAGAAAGAACCTTTTACACATAAATTTTCTGAACCCAACTTGGACTGGATTAAGCAAAATCATTAACTTATTAAACAAACTGGAAACTTCTCTATGCAGAAGCTGACCTTTCTTATCTTTTACTGCCTGCTTGTTGGTTATCAATTATTATTGCCTATAATAGCATGACAATTTCCTGGCAGTTATCTACTGGACCAAGTTATGATGGATTAAAGCAAACTTACATATCAGATGCTATTTGTTTTGGAGAATAGCTTACTTAGTTGCAAGTAATTCTTGATGTGCAGGAGCATGTTCTTACTGGTGGTCATGGACTTATGGTGCAAGGTTATGACCCTGTGATAAAGGCTCTTGCAAAAGATATTGATGTCCGTTTGAACCAAAGGTACTACCAAAAACTTTCTATTTTGGCGTTTTAATCTTTGACTGGCGTATTGTCTTTCCTCCAATATGCTTGTGTTATTGTCGGGTAGTGTAAGACCTAATTGAGCATGGTTATTTTCTTTTGTTTGCTACTTTGAATAATGTTGAGAAACTAAGCTTCATATATTTATCTTTTCTTACTGAACTGTATATGAATCTAACTTCCTGTTCGGGGAATTAAAAAGTTTTACAAAGATTCAGTATTAACATAAACTGTATTTTCGCTTCCTATTCTTGACAATTAGGTTCAATAACTCTGTGGCACTTATCTGTTAAAGAAAAATGTAGAGAAGCCTAACCTTGGAAGTATTTCTTTATCTAGAAGCCTTCATAAACTGTATCTTCTTGTGTGGTGACATTATTTTGACGCTTTATAGAACTTATATGTAGGGTTACAAAAGTCTCCAATTTGTGTAACAAGGTGACAGTCACAGTTGAAGAGGGGAGGAACTTCATTGCTGATGCTGTTGTCATAACAGTACCAATTGGTATTCTAAAAGCCAATTTAATACAATTTGAACCAAAGCTGCCCGAGTGGAAGCTCTCTGCAATTTCAGGTCTAGGTGTGGGAAATGAAAACAAGATTGCCTTAAGATTCGATACAGTCTTTTGGCCAAATGTTGAACTCATTGGTGTTGTTGCTCCCACTTCTTATGCCTGTGGTTATTTTCTCAATCTTCACAAGGCAACAGGCTATCCTATACTTGTCTATATGGCTGCTGGAAGATTTGCTTATGATCTCGAGAAGCTATCTGATAAATCTGCTGCAGATTTTGTGATGTTGCAACTGAAGAAAATGTTTCCTGATGCAACTGAGCCGGTAAATTCATTGTTTCCCATTGTTGCTTTCACCTCCCTGCAGCCTGGAATTTTGCTATCTGGATTTACTTGTTTTACTTTATGGCGGCAATAATGAAATATTTCGTTTCTTACTGGTTGGATGCCCAAGTGGTGTTGATAGACAGGACAAAACTTCTGAACCAACATATCTGGTTTCTTTGAAACAGGTTCAGTATCTTGTGTCACATTGGGGAACAGATCCAAATTCTCTTGGTTGTTACTCCTACGACATAGTTGGAATGCCGGAAGATCTGTACGAGAGGCTTCGAGCACCTGTTGGAAATTACTTCTTTGCAGGGGAAGCTGTTAGTATGGACCATCAGGGATCTGTCCATGGAGCTTACTCAGCTGGAGTAATGGCTGCTGAGAACTGTCAGAGGTATCTTTTAGAGAGGCTAGGCAGCCTCGAGAAGATCCAGATGGTCTCTCTGAGGAGTGAAATTCTAGAAGCTACGTTTCCTCTCCGAATCTCAAGGATGTGAAACGTTAGAATTTGGAAAGAAAAACGAGTTGGTTAGTTGTTATTATGATCTCAAAATAAATGCTAGATTAGTATCGCTATCTGGTTGATAGACACTTTTTGTTCATTTTCAAGTCATATATGTAAAATCCTTAATAGTATGGATCTACAATTAACAGAAGCTCCTTTGGTTATTTGGACATTGGATATATTATTTTTCGGTTTGAATTTCAGCTCTTTGGTCTATATAAATTCCGAATCATGGAAGGAATGGTGACTTTATAACGTGTTTGGAACTAGGTTTATAAAATCGTTTATAACATAATTTGAAGGAGTTGTTTCAAACTAAAGAATTTATTTGAGAATGGAATTGCGTAACATATTTTAAATTCCATTGAACTTGGTGGGATCTTAGAACTGGTTATACATTTAATGTTTTTGTCAATTCTTTCCAAAAAGAATGCTTGTATCCTGAGTGTATTCTTTGTAATAAATTTTAGACTCTGAATTTTTTTTTTTTAATTTTGTGTCATTTTCTATATTTTCTGATATATTTTAATTAATATGTACACAAATTAAAATCCTCTTGATATTTATATTATTATTTTTTTTTTTTAAAAAAGAGTGCATTCTATGTAACAGTACAGACAATAGAAAAAAACCAGGTATTGGATAGACTCCAACAATAATTCTCTAAAAATAAAAAAATAAAGTATGGAAATTATTCAATTTTAATCTCAGCAAATAAATAGAAAATTGTCGCGTCCGATCTCTATGACTTACTACCATCTCATGTCAGCTTGGTGGTAGAAACTGATTTCTGTTATTCTGGTCTACTCTCTCTCTCTTCTCTCTCTCTCTCTCTCTGGGATCGCACTGCTTAAGAATATTAGTCCCGGACAACAGAGGGCTCCTTCTGCTCAAGTTCTTCCTTCAAATCCTTCTGTTTCATTCCCTCTCCGCTTTTCTACTTCCGTTTCAGGTATTCCTTCCAAAACTCTCATTAAATCGAACTTTCTTCCTTATTTAATGAAAACATTTCCGGATTATCCTCTTCTGATATTAAGATTTGATCTTCAGTTGAAGACGTGAACGAGGAGCAGCAGTCTCTGAGTCACCTCCGCAATGGTTTCCTTCGAAATGAATGACCGAAAAAGTGAGTACATGTTCACGTTGTTGCTTTTTTGGTTAACTTTTTCCCTAGTATGTATCTACTGTATCCGTACGTGGATGCGATGATTGGAAGAAAATTTTATGCTATTTTTGGTAGCGAGCGAACACTCTGTATGAATTTCATGGATGCTGTTTTGCCGTTTATGAGAATTTTTTGTGTTTTATTTATTTCGTTTTGGAAACTTTTTATCGGCTTGGTGTGGAACATGGCTGTGGTTATTGAATTTTTTCAGAGAAGATGGCTATGGCTTATTTGCGATTGTATCTTTGGTTGAAACAAGTGTATCAAGTGGTATCCGCTGGTGATTTGAAAGTTGAAAGAAGATAAACTATTAGGTTTCGTTGTGTTGCCGTAGTCCTGAATTAAATATGATGAGGGAGAAAGTAGTGGAAACACGTTCGGGTGAGAAATTAGCATCTATTTTAGGAGATATGGTCCCATTTTCCCCTTCTTAAAATTCCAGTTGCAGAATTAGGAATCTCTATGTTTTTGCCTTGGCAGAAAGCGTTGTGGAAATTTAATGACCAAAGTTCTGGAACTATCCTCTATTACTAAGGAGGAGTTTACATCTCGAGAGCTCTAAGTTCTTTACTGCCACTTGGAGGTGGTGTTGGAGGTGCTATTTTCCTGGAATGTTCACGAGTGGGAGTTGTAATTGCTGATGTTTTTTTTGGAGAATTCATAAGGTCTTACTGTTGGAAATTAGCTTAATCGATTTAAGAATAAATCAATTCTTTGTGCTCTAATGGGAAGAGTTATAAATCTTATTCCAAATAAATGAAGTTGATCTAAAATTTGCTATTGATCTTTTGTTCAGTTTCTAGAAATGTCTGGATGATGGAGAAAGTGTTTGAATTTCAGTGCTTTAAACTTTGTACTCGGTTTTGGATGCTGAAACAGTTACAGGCATGTTTCACCCGCTAAAACTTCTGCACATTTTAATATTGGCATTTCTGAATTGAAACAGAGATTGGGCTAGGATTGACCGGATTTGGAATTTTTTTCTCATTCCTGGGAGTTATCTTCTTCTTTGACAAGGGTTTCCTTGCCATGGGAAATGTAAGTTTATTATGTTTATCTTCCATTTTACTGATCTGCCAATTCTCTAATCTATACATGACATTTGATTAGACTCCTTCATTTCTTTGTGTAATTTAATCAGATCCTCTTCTTCTCAGGGGTGACTCTAACCATTGGTCTGAAGTCTACCATGCAATTTTTTATGAAACGTCAAAACTTAAAGGTTTGATTTCCTTATCTGTGTGTCTGTCTGCGTGCATAACCACCATACAATTATTCCTTCCTCAGCCCGCCACACGCTTCATTGATCAACAGGGAACTTTGTCTTTTGGCATGGGCTTCTTCTTTGTTGTTATAGGGTGGCCGATTTTTGGCATGATTTTGGAAGCATATGGGTTTATTGTACTCTTCAGGTATTCAGATCCTTTCTCTCCATGATTAGTTGCCAGTCCTTCCATTTTACGTTTTTGTAGTTTCTGATTAATCTTAACCCAGTTTCTCATGTCTTCTCTGGCAGTGGCTTCTGGCCGACAGTTGCAGTTTTCCTGCAGAGGATACCTTTTCTTGGTTGGCTGTTGCAGAAGCCGTATTTCAGATCGGTTTGTTACTTGCAATATCTTTTTATTTTTCTGAATTGAGAAACCTCTGGTAAGGATATGCTGCATTCACTTGTTGTTAGTCTGTTTAGTGCTCACCATGTTATTTAGATTAGGAAAAGGGAGCACTAACATACATTTAAAAAATATTTTTTAAAAAGCACTCTACAGTCTTAAACCCTTCTATATTTGGAGTCAATAGATATATTGATTTCCATGTATAATTTGCATATTAAAATGCTTTCATCCCAAGCTTCACAAAGCAAATACAGAAGTAGCTATTAAGCTTGTTTTTTTATTTATTTTTTTTCTCTTCTTCTCCTATAGATCTTTGACCGGTACCGTGGCAGACGGGTTCCTGTATAAGGCTGTGAAGTAACACTTTAGGAAGATCCATTCATATGGAGTATGGTCAGGACAAGAGGTATTGGTTAGTTTTGATTCTATGGTTAAGCAAAAGCCATCATGCTTCTTTTGTGTACATCAAGAGACAAATAGTTATTGCTTTCTGCTATTGTTTTGCCTTGTTTCAGTGTTTTAACTCTTGAATGAAATATGAACTTTTCATTTGAGGTTGGCCGCCAGCAATTTCATATCCACCAGTATTTTCATGTCGTATCCTAAGTATTATCTTATAATAGTTTATTTTTGGTTCAAAGTCACTAACTTGATGGGAATATCTTATAGGTTATATGTGGTTTAGAGTTGCTAATCTGATGGGATGCAAATAAAAGTAATAGAGAAGTTTTACATGAAAATATTAAATTATATGAGGCACCCAAATGGGAATGCATATTAAACTTTGTGGCTATGTTATCTGCTCTATGATCACTTGTTCACATAAAATTTAAAAACAGATTATCAAAATAAATAGATACTCAAATAAAAAAATACAAATTTTACATCAACAATTTGAATATTTAAGCTTATAATAAGCATGGCGTATGTAAAGAAATACAGTGCATTAATGTACAAGAAAATAAAAAGAGAAACAACAATAATTTTATGTGATGAAAGATAAACTAATGCACTGGATAATCATATTAGTTGATTTTTACAAATTTTTAATATGCTTAGTTATAATTTTTATTTAGTATTTTGATATTTTAAATAAGAAATTATTATGTTTCATTTCTTAATTAATCCTTTTTCATACTAATACCTAATTAAACAATTTAATTTTGAATTAATCAAATCGATTTTAAACTTATTCCAGTCAGAAAAGAATTTACATATATATATATATATATATTTGTTCCTAAACTAGAATGCTGGGTTATGTATATAATATGTATTTTAAATTTAATATGTCTTTTTCTATTTTATATTATTAAACTAAATTATGATAAAATATACATTTTATCTCCAAATATAATTTTTTTAATTCCCCCTTCCGTTTCTATGGTATCCCTTTGAAAGGTCAATCAAATTCCAATTGTCATTATAATTAAAAAAAAAAAAAAAAATTTGTTTTAATTTTGACTTTTTATTT